CAAAAAAATAGTAAACAAGAGATAGAGAAAAAAGTTCAAACTCTGGCTTCTTTGCACCTCAGTCAGTTTTTAGTTGACTAAAACTCTGGACATTTTAGTTTTGTGTTTGTCAAAGAAAACCATAAACATTTTTGTTTTAGTCTAAGAACCCATAGAAATGAACATTAGGATTTCATCTAAGTAAAATAATTTCAGGCTGAAAGAAAATTTAAAATAGAATAAGCAACATGATGAGAAGCTGTATACAGCCTTGCAGAGAGTGTGTTTGGGTTGATTTTTATTATTTTAAGCAGTATATACATAACAGAGGATTAAATAATGAAATCTGGAAAGATGCAACAACATTAACAAAGACAATTGTAGTGTCTGCAGCTGGCACCTCTGCCTCCTCATCTGCTAGCAGCCGGTCTAGGCAACAAGGCACATCTAGCACACCTGTGGACAACTAACCAGCTCCATCTTAAGCTGCTTGCTGGCATGTCCTCATCGCCAGATCATTGTGTCTCCCCAAGGATCTCTGATCGTGGCTCTTGTCCTGGCTTGTCTCTTCTCCTGGTCTCTGTGCAGCAGTGCGCCTCACTCACTAACTCCACAACGGCGACTGAACAACTCACCTCTTCCTGGCTTTGCTCCAGTGTGCCTTGCTTACGGAACTCCACAACATCAACAGACAACTCACCTCTCCCTGGTTTCATGTCAGCTAAATGTGTTTCACTCTCTGTACTCATTGACTGTCACTACTCACCTCTTCCTGGTCCTTTCCCCAGTTCAGCGAGCTTACTCCCTCAAGCCCCAGCATTCTCAAACTGTGCTAGTCCTTCTCTCTTTGACTGCCTCCTCCAGATCCACCGGTCTTCACTCCACCTGTTTTCACCTCCACACTCAAATACACACACACACACACACACACACACACACACACACACACCTTCCCTCTACAACAACATCACCTAGCACATGATTCCCCATAACTCCCCACACTGCCCTGACTCTTTTTGCCTAGTCCTCCTCACGCAGTGACCGCTTGTCGCCTCTGACTATTCCCCAACGCTCAGTCAGTTCTCTCCTCTACTCTGGTTGTATTAGCTGTGTCTGCCCTGCTCCCTAGTTTGTCTGGTCTGAGTGTGCATATTGGGTCCCCACTGCTTCCTGGTCGCTAAACCTAACACCAATGCAGTCTAACTCTTGGCAATATGAGTCATCAATTGCTATGGTCTCTTCTGTTTGAAAACACAAACATTGAATATCTGGAAAAAAGGTTATACAATGGAAATGCCTCCTGCAGTATTGTAAATCCTGGTGTTTTGTTGTTGTTTTGTGGATTAAGTAACAAATAATAGGTCATGCAATTTTATCTCCTTTTCAAATCAATGAAAGTTTTTTTTCTCAGACTCCATTTTAGTCACCTCGAGTTCTATTTTTTTTCCTTAAGTGATCCATAATTAATGAAGGGAATTTAAAGAGTCTGGAGAAACCCAAGACATACTGTATATTAAGGCTGTGCTTCTCCTGGATAACTTTTCAGACAGGCAGATACAAAAGTCATAGATCTGTGCTGAGAAAACAGGGTGGAGGCTCTTTTTATAGACAAAGCCAACCAAACAGATCAATAGCTCTGACACTGCAGCCAAGATATCATTACACATACTTCCGGCTGTGGACCTTTCAGGTTACTGGATCCTGCAAGGTTACAGAGAAAAGATACTGTAAGACTGTGAGCATGAGTTCTGCTTTAGTTGTTGTGAGTTGTTGGGGTTTGTAGAGATTGTGTGATTAGTTTGTTTCACAGAGCAGTAAAAATCATGCTTATTGCGACTCTAAAGAACATAACAAATGTCAGACTTCTATTTAATAATTTTATGCCAGTTACAATTGTTTGCATTCTCTCCTCTCTCCCTCATCTTCCCTCCCCTTCTCTCCAGCTCTGTGAGGCAGGGAGTGAAGTACCAGTACACAGTCCAGGTGGAAGCAGGCGGACTCCTCAGTGATCCCTCCCCACCTCTCCTCTATACCCATGGGCAGTCCTACTGTGGGGATGGCCTCATACAGGGGTCTGTGCTCTTTAGTGACTATGCTAACATGACTAATGACTGTGATGACCAATCAGACACTGAAAATTGAGATGGTATTGGATATAAAGTTGATGAGGATTGCCCTCTGTCTGTAGGACAGAAGAGTGTGATGACAGTAATCTGTTGAATGGGGATGGCTGCTCTATGAAATGTCATAAGGAGATGGGCTTCAACTGTAATGGTGAGTGAGTTCCGTTCCTTCTAGTGCAGAAAGAAGTAAGTCTTTGGTCCATCATGAGTTTTTGCAAAGACTAAAGTTCGAAGCTTGTTGAGCTGTGGGTTTTCTTTCAGAACAATCACAACTCTTTTTTTTTTTTACCGTCAAACATCAAATCCACCAACTCTTGCCTCTATCTTACATGTAAAACATGAACATCATATACATTTTTATTGTAAAAGTGCAGTCACTAAATAGTCAGAAATGTAATTTGTGCATGCAACGGCATTAAGAAAAATCCAAACAATTTAATTTACAAGATGTAAAAGGTTCTGGCTTGAACTGATTCCACAAACCATTAATGTAACATCACAGCAACCTAAAAGAAGACACACACGCTAAAGGGCAAAAAATGAGCTTTTGATTTGCTAAATCACAAGTCTTGTTTATAAATCTGAGGGATTTGGACATTAGTTTGGCAAAGAAACACCAGAAAACACTTCAGGAGTAAAGCACACCGTTCAGTCTCAAAACATAAATCAGCCATGTTTCCCTTATTAAATACGTTTTGGCCTTTATAAGCTTTCAAGCAACTGATGTAATCTTGGGAATACAGATAAATGAAGTTTAGTGTTTGTAATCAAAGATCAGGTTGTGGTTTTAGACTGGAAAGTGTAAGCAAAAATCAGCTCACAATAACAGTTATGTTTTAGAAACTGTTGCCATTTTTCATTTTGTGTAACATGCTTTATCTACAGTCAGTAATAGGTTTATTATTATCATCAAATCTCATCTGCACCAGCTGGATAGCTCTCCCCAGTGAGAGACATCACAATCAGCTGTAAAAGCCTTTGCTTCTGACAACTTGTGTACAATGACCCAAATGATTGGAGGCCACCACCACCTTGCAATTCTGACCAACAGACCAACGGGGTGGGGTGGGGTTATGATAAGTTATGGGGCGGCTGTGGAGGTAGAGCAATTATTTTCCATTTGTTAGCTTGATGGTTCAAGTTCCAGTCTCACCAGTCTACATGTCGAAATGTCCTTGGGTAAAACATTGAACCCCTAGTTGCCCCCTAGTAGGCAGAGACTGACAGCACCACTATCAGTAAGAAACATTTAAAAAAAAGAGGAGAAACAAAATGGATAGTTAATTTGTATTTCAATGAGTCATGTGCTTACTGGAAAACAGTTTGGTGGGGGTTCAAGATTTAATCACTGAAAGAAAGCTTCACTTGTTTAAGTGCCAAGGGCATACTCGTTTCCAGCCATGTAATGTTTATTCTTGGGTACCTCTAGATTAGCTTTGCACCCATAATGACTCCAAATGGTCTGTAATTATTTCACAGCAATAAAACCCAAGGGCCTCCTCCTGAAAACGAGGATATTTCATGAGCACACACATTTCCCGTTGCCAGTGAGGAAACTATGACAGTGTATAAACAAATAAGCAATGTTTTCAACAGTGACAACACCTCAAATCCTACCTGATATGTTGGAGCCAGAATGTGAAAGTGGACATCATGATGAACCACAACAGCATTAATTTATTTAAATTTCTCCTCCATAGATAGGTAAACAACGGTTATGTACCAATGAAAAGATATGTGTAACACTCTTAACAAAGTGGGCAATTGAGAAACCCCATATTTTAACTGGCATATTGCAGACATAGTAACTTCTCCAGCCTTACAATTGTCTACAGAAACAACACATCAGATGCGGCAGACACATTGGCCTCAAACTGTCAAAGCAAACAGGTACTGTGCTCTGGAGGAATCCAGCATTGATCAGCTGATCATTCACTGCCCCAGGGTGCTTCCCTGGTGGGCTGATTGTAGTTTAGACCCTGTCAGGTAAAGCAGCGAGTCGCTGTACAAGAATGTTCCTGAATATGCAGTAACCTCAGGTCCTGTGGTTTTCTTCACATCCTCTGGCCACAGTGCTGGCAGCAGGAGGTACAATATATCCAGAAAACTGGGTGCAGTTGAAGAATTCCAGTTTTAAAATCACAGTGGTGGATGTCAGGCACATAAACATGAATGCGCACAGCCAGGAGTATATGATCATTCAAGAAAATCCTTAAACTACTGCATAAGACTTTACATAGTTGAAAAAACTCTTTTGTATGAACTGAGTTGTTTCTGCATAGAAGTACAGCAATACAGGTAAACATTGTTTTTTGAGCTTTCAGTTACATTTAATATGATAATAAATCGTTGTAACATTGTAGCTAAGTCAGAAAACACAGAAAAGCATGCCATGGGCTCTTTAAGGCTCTTAAACCTTTAAACTCTAACTTTCCCATGTATTTTCTGTTATGTATTTTTTCCTACAATAGTTTCAAATTATCATAAAAGTGCCATATGCATTATTGTTGGCTCATTGCAATAGATACATTTTGGGGAGTTTTTTAAGTTTGTATTGAGTTTCCTGGTATGTGTGCAAAATATCAGCACCTGTGCACTAATGTACAGTCCATTCATGTGTAAATTCTTTGCAAGTGATTAAAAAGAGTGCAACCCTTTTCATGTAAATCCCATATACTGTTATCCATAATACAAAAGGCAGAGAAATATGACACAAACACAGTACTTTGTGTCTGAACCCTTGCCCAGTCTGAAGCATGTAGACAGAAGCCTCACAACACACATGGAAGGGAGTTGACCCAAAACCAATGGAAAGATTATGCCTCTGTTAACACAAGCTGAATAAATATGACTTTTAAAATATCCAATTGTTTGGTGATCTTAGTGATAAATATTCCATATACTGCTAAGAAGATGTGACAGGTCATTTGAGAAAAGGCAGTATACATTTTGAGGCTGTGTATTGTTTTCACAGGCAGCTGGATGGTAGTTATTCGTGTGGTGTAAGGGTTTGTGTTATGAAAGTTTGTTACAGGGCTAAAATTTCCATCATCCAGTCAGTTTATTTGTCAGGGAAACAAGGAAAAATTGTCATGCAATGACTGAAGCTATTACAGCTCTTGTTTTACAATAAAAGACATCATGTCTAGCAAGGGAAACAATCAGGCAAAAACAGATGTTCTCAAATTGCCAGCACTTAAAATCAATTATTCAGTGATACGTCTTATTCAGAGACAAGATTTGTTTAGGTATTCTTGACACATTTACCTGATGCAGTTAAATCCCACTATGCTGATTTATCTTAACCACAGTTGTACAGTTACCAAAACAGTTACTTTTATAATCATCTCATGACGCACATTTGTTATACCTGATAAAACATGCTACTTTCAGGTTGGTTTATAGATTATACTGTTTTTTTTTATTAAAAATGTTAACTGTCTGATTAAATAATGGTTACAGCATGCACAAATTTTATACATATATAAACTAAAAAAAAAGTTGGTCTGTGTGTGCAGTATCTACAATATCTACAGTCAGAACTAATTTATAGATAGATATGTACAATTGATATTTACAGTAAGACATGTAGGGTAATGTATAATATACAATAGACTATGGATTTAAATTACAAGTAATGGATAGTACAGGTCTTTCTTGGAATTAAAATAATTTAATCATTTTCATAGGTGTTGTTAAACAGGGTGGAGTATTTGGTGAGTTCACTCATTGTAGTATTGCCAAATATATTCAGGATGACAATACTGTATTGTGTTAAAATGTGTTAGTGTAATTGGCTTTTTATCAGAAACATATTTCCGCCAACTAATTGAAGCCAACTGTGCACTACTCTCTGACAGAGCTCTGTCCAGCGTCTGCAGCTGTTTTTTTTGTGTGGGTTTTCTAGATGTTTTATGAATAGCTGCTCCATTACAAGCTGGTGTTCAGCTTAATCTTGCCATTCCTTTTGCGATAAACTACTGTAGCACCTTATGTCAATTTAATGTTCATTGCTTAACCCAGTGGTTCTCAAAGTGTGGGGCACACCCCACTAGTAGGAAGACATGACAGGTGGGGCGCAATGAAAAGAAAAAATTAGAAATGGGTCATTAATACAAGTAAATTAAAATAACATCAGCTCGCAGCCTGGGAGAAAAAAGTGGAACCATATTGCAACAATAACAGTTTACCGTCGGCATGTTAACTGCCGCACAACAATATAAGGAAGTGTTCACACAGAGGGCCAATAGTGTACGTAGTGCTGTAGACATGGTGTCGATTATGCTGGATGAGACAAGTGCTGCAAAATTGAAAACTATCCCCCTGTCAAACGATACAGTTGCACTTATATTTGATCTGTTTTGAACTTGGTGTTATTTGATATTTCAAGACATCTGAAATTTAAAAATTGGCCGATTTCATTTTTTGACAAGTGGGGCTTGAAAATTCGCCCACCCTCTTAAGTGGGGAATGACAAAAAATGTTTGAGAACCACGGGCTTAACCACAACTGTGTCACAGGAAGTATAATAGCCTGTTCCTTCTTGCTACAATTCAATTAACATCGATGACACACTTAATAAAGTCTAAATGTAATATTATATTATTAGGCCTACTATGTATTATTTTTACCTTATACTAAAATCTTAAAGCATCTTTGATCTTATTTCACATCATATCATTAAAGAGCCAAATCTAGAACTTTGATGTTAAATAAGAAAGTCACTTTCGGCTTTTCCCGTCACACTGACGACTCGCATGTTGACATTTGGCACGTGCCTTTCCTGACGCAACCCTGATTTTAAACCACTAGCCTACAGGAACGGCTAACTTTGATGTCAAATAACTTTGACTAAAGCAGACAGCACTCAGAGAGTGCAAACCTCTGCCAAGGCAGATCAGTGTCCCCATAATGCCATTACACCTAAAAGCAATATTCCGATGATAGTGTGAACCTCATATTATGATTCCTTGACCATGAAAACCTACCCTTAGCATGTGGAATCACATTGATAACATTATTAGTTTGGAAGTTTTTCAAGAAAAAAAAAGATATTTCACTAATGGTAGTTTTCTTCAGGATCTAGCTTAGTAACTTTGTCAGATTTCTTGATACCCTATTGACTCAGCAGAGTTTCAGCTAGAACCTGATCTTTTCTGCAAGTCTATAGCATTATTTTTTGTCTCACAATAGTGAGTTTTCTGTGGCCCCTCTATATTTTAACATTCTGGATTACCAGATCTGGGATATTACTTGGATCCAGATCATAGTTTGAGGTTTGGTAGATCTTATGGGGATGTTATTGTCCAATTGTTGTCCAAGCATTGTAGGCACTGTGTGTGGAATTAGAAGTAATTATATTGAAATTGACCCTATTGCACAATGATGAAGAATCCTTTTATAAATTCATGGATCCTGATAATGATCTGGATCAGCACCAAAATCTGATCCTCTAATCTAATATAATCCCAGGGCCTTACCCTACCTCTCCAAAAAATTAATCAAAATCCATTTATTGCATTTTGAGTTATGCTGTAAACAAACAAACGAACAATCACAGGTAAAAGCAATTGCGAAAAAATCAAGCTTAAAAAGTATGTACAAACTTAACTGCAAAAGTTCTTCTTGATCTTGGAAATAGTAGCAAAAAGAAAAGAGAAAAAGCAAAAACCTATTTGTTCTACTTGTTAGTGTTTTTGGGAAGTTTCAATTTTGCTAAACTGCCTCCATGTCAATTTTATTTTTTTCAGCAAACTATGTAAAATCTTTTTTAAGAGGTGTGCTTAATAAATCCTAATTTACCATGAACAGCCTAAAATATTGGTCCAACAGAGCATATTTATCTAAAGAATTTTAGATCCTAAGAATCAACTGGCTGACCAAGAGGTGCTTTTGGGATCAATTCCCTGCCATTCACTACGGCCAGAACTAGGTTTGTAATGATGTAATTAAGTGTTAGTACTTCAGCCCAAATTTCTGCTCTCATGGACAGGTACTGAGTAACTGTGTATTGTTTTCCTCTTGCTAAATTTTATTGAATTTTTGAGGATTGATTAAAAAAATGAGTTGCTAAAAAATACTGAATTCAAAATGTATTAGCAGACACAATAACAGCAAAAGCAATCTCAAACTCAGAATGAGTTTTACACCCCACTGCCTTGACAGTCCTCTAAGGCTACATAATGCTGTTGTTGTCACCTGATGACCCACTGAGGTACTTTTAAGACCAAAGTCACATATTAGGTTCTCATACTTAAACATTGGTGAATTACTGCTCAATAATTAGTTAAAGTTTAAGTTTATTTCCTTCCATAATTTACAGTCTGTTGGCAGCATAGAGAGTCAGATATGGCTGAGTCGATGTGGCTAATGTTAATAGTGCCCCCCCCCCAAAAAAAAGAATAAATTTGCTCAGATTTGGTTCCCTGCCAGATTAAGAAACCAGGTTTTATATTCTTTCATAAATCCTCCTCTGTCTCCCAAGGTGAACCCAGTCAGTGTTATGTTTTTGATGGTGATGGTGTATGTGAGGAGTTTGAGCGGGGCTCCAGTGTTCAGGACTGTGGTTACTTCACACCTTTGGGCTACACAGACCAGTGGGCATCCATCGCCACTGCTTCTCACCAGGACTCCAACTGCTGTCCTGCCCACGCTGCCACCGGAGAGCCATCCCTGAACATGGTATGAAATATGAATCACAGGGCACATAAATAATTCAGGTAACAATAAACTCCCTGTGGAGACCATTATGGAAATTTTCAACCCTTTGGCAGTAATGTCAATAGTTGACTGCATTTCTCAACCTCTTGGTTGTCTCAAAAACACATGAATCTATGCATGATTTTTATTAGCATAAATTCTCCAAATCGGGCAGCACAGTGGCACAGTGGTTAGCGCCGTTGCCTCACAGCGAGAAAGTTCCGGGTTCGGGCCCCACCTGGGACCTTTCTGTGTGGAGTTTGCATGTTCTCTCCATGCTTGCGTGGGTTCTCTCCGGGTACTCCGGCTTCCTATGTGCATTTTATGTATAGATCAGGAGAAGTTTTTTCCTGTTGCAAGTCCTGATGTAGATAAGAACTTCATACTTCTGTAAATTTCATGATTCCCACTGGCTACTCAAGTGACGAATCCTTTCAAACATTTGGTGTTAATAAAATTGTTTTTGGACAAGTGTTAAAAACCAGATGTACTAGATATTAGGTGAACTTCTCCTTATCAGTTGTAGAAAGTTCACATTTGTTTCTGCTGTTTATTAAGTAACAACCACACAACCTCTAATTATAGACACAGTAAATTACATTAAAATCAATACAGTCCATGTAAAATTAAAGATGGTGCATACATTTTTTATTGTTTACTTGCTGGAGGTGTGCCAGGCTACTATGTTTGGCTTAAAGCTATATGGCTTTTTTTTTTTTTTTGATGCCGGTGAGTCACACCTGCTTCTGATGAGTCTGGAATTCCACAGGGCAAATTTCAGGCAAATTAATATTTAGTTGATCTATTAACAAGTTTTCACAACGGAAGACAAAAAGCTCTGCTACCTTTTTAAAAATGTATTTATTTCAACTTTTTTATTACCAGGTTAAGTTTATTGTTAAATTTATTATGAAAGATCAGGTTGTGGTTTTAGATTAAACACTATAAGCAAAAATCAGCCCAAATAACAGTTATGTTTTAGAAATTGTTTCCTTTTCCCCCTTTATTTAATGGGCTTAGGAGCCTTTTGGTGACAATGTATGTACTGTGGGTCAAATAGCCTAACAGTAGAGAAGGACACAAGAGCAAATGTCACTTAGTAAAGTAATCCTTTACTATAGACTTTACAATAGCCTTGACTCCAGATGGAAAGTTCTTCTCACTGCATTTCTTAAACTGTAACTGGAGCAGGAAACATGAAAGCTTTCTTTCCCTTCTCTGCCTATAATCTAGAGACAGGCAGCAGATATGCGTCTTGTGATCTAAGATAATGATTGGAAGATGAACTGTTGATGAAATACCTTTTCAGAAGATGAGAGAAGTTTATCTGCAGTATAATTACTTTATAAAGAACTAGAAAGACTGCTTTGCGGCTGAATGCCTCCGCCGACCAGCCAGGACAGCAACTCTGAATAAGATAAGATAAACCTTTATTAGTCCCACGGAAATCACATAACACCTCTCAGTTCCATTATTGCTGTTATTTGACATTACATCAGCTTTTGAAATATTCTTACATCAGCCTTGCTCCTCTACAAAGTCGGTCACATACAAATAAAGCATAAGATACATACAGTATCATATAGTTAATAAAGTTCTTCTTGCCTGGGCAAACAATATGATTTAGTCCACTTTTATCACGGGAGGGTTTTTGGCGTCAGGCACATTGGTTCCAGCATCTCAAAACTGGCAAACCTCATGGTACACTGTCTGTATGAGGAAAGATGTAATAAATAATAATAATAATAAATCTTTAATAAAATCATCATGGCCTGTCAAATGCTATCCTACTCTACTCACTCTTTTCAAGGTACCAAATAGTATAATATAATTAATTAAATTAGAGCAAAATATGTAATGCACATTTTGAAAACCTTTTACTGCTCCACAGTAAACTTTGCAATGTGATTATATCACTATTTAGTTCATGCCATAATATGTAACCAGTGGAATAAACAGTTTTCACATAAAGTTTTTTCACATTAAAAAGTCAGCTAACAGTTAGGATTTGGACAATAAACCTAGAATTGTGGTCAATATTACACAGGTAAGAGATTTAAAAAAATGAAAGATTAAGAAAAATATTACTTCAGGTAAACTCACACTAATGCAAGAAAAACAGTAGGGAGTTGAGAATTGAACATGGGGCATATGAGCTGAATTGAAATGTCCATGCTACTCCTTCACTACTAGTTTCTTTCTAGAGGTGAATGGAGGTAAAGAATAGTCTACTGTTTGTGGATTAGTTATTATTGTTTGTTGCACAATTAAGTTTAGGTATCCTTTTTCTGTGTGAAGCTCTGCAGGTACCAGCACCTAGAGGTGGGCGAGAAACTGTCCACCAATGCCTGGTTCCCCTGCACAGCCGAGTCTGACACAAATAATGACCTGGAACATTCATTTTGGCTGAAGGTATTTGTGTGTGTGTGTTCTTGTACTTGCTACATAATGAGGACCACAAAGTTATTTTTTTATATATATATTTTTTTTGTATTTTTTTGCTACAGAGTGAGGACATTTTGGCTGGTCCTCACTTTCTGAAAGACATTTTTGAGGGTTAGGATTAGTTTAAGTTAGGTTTAGGCATTTAGTTCTGATGGTTAAGTATTAGGGTAAGGGACTAGGAAATGCATTATGTCAATGAGTGTCCTTACAAAGATACAGAGTATAAGTTTGTGTGTGTGTGTGTGTGTGTGTGTGTGCGCGCGCGCGCGCGTGCATGCATGTGCATACTGTATCTGTTTTCCCCTCCACTGAATGACTGTGAGTGGCTATTTTGTCTTCAACAGCTTCCAGCATTTTCCACTACTTTAAATGGGGTTGAACAGCCTCTTGCACTGACTCCTGGCTCAAACCTCCACACACGCAAACACTCCTGACTTTCAAACAGTTGCATGATTCAGTGCATTAATTACTGTAATTACTCATTTTCCAGGTCAGTTGTGAATTGTGAGCTCTAGCAATCTGTAGATGGTCACCAAATCATGTCTAACCTTGTACTTGTTCTGTATTTACAATTTTTTCTTTGACTGCAAGAATACTAATCTTGGAAATCCTCAGTGATGATTATAATACATTAACTAATAGTTAATAGCAATAGTGTTGTTTAATCAAGTCATTGCTTATAATTCAAAGATGTTCAGAAGATATTTAAATACCTGCATCTGCTAGAATAATAATTTTGTAATAAGAAATAGATTTCTTAGTCATCATGAATTTAGAATTTAGATTAAAGATAGCGCCAACGACTATGGCTGCCTTATGTACTCGTGCTCTCCTGTGTTTGTTGTTTTTCCTTGTTTTCTCGGTCTTTTGCAACCCATCCCAGATTACTTTCACCAGAGAAGAACTGTTAAACATCGGACTCACACCAAACCACCTTTCTCTGACTTTTGTGAATGAAGGATGCTGTGTGGACTTTCCGATCATCTATGGGACCTGGAGGAAGTGCTGGCAAGGGAAGCGAGCGGGTGCCTTAGTAAGGTTACGGCTCAGGAAGTTCGACCTGCCGCAGGAGCTGCTGATACAGTTCTACAGAGGAATCATCCAGTCTGTTCTCTGCTCCTCCGTTACTGTCTGGTTTGGCTCAGCAACCAAACAGGACAAGTACAGACTTCAGCGGACAGTCAGGACTGCAGAAAAGGTCATTGGTGTGAGCCTGCCCTCCATGGAGGACCTGTACACCTCACGGATCAAAAGGAGGGTGAAGAGGATCACTGCAGACCCCTCACACCATGGGCACAATCTGTTTGAACTCCTCCCCTCTGGACGGCGTTACAGGTCACTGTGCACTAAGACAACCAGGCACAGGGACAGTTTCTTCCCCCAGGCCATCACTCTGATTAACACTTAACCCATGACAGTATGACTGGACAATAACCCTCAGTTCATTACCTGTCAATATATCTTGTACATATAGATCCGTTGAATGCAGACTGTGTGTCTGTGTGTGTGTGTGTGTGTGTGTGTATACATACTGTATACATATATATATATATAATATATATATGTACAAGTCTCTATTTATAAGTACTTTACTCTTATTTTTTATCTTTTTTCCTAATGCACATTTCGTTGCTTGTTGATACAGTATGTACGTACACATTGAGAGCTGCTATATCAGAGTCAAATTCCTTCATTTGTCCAACACACCTGGCCGATAACACTGATTCTGATTATGGTTCTAGAAAATGCAGGGAACAAAACATTTCCTGCCAACTATGTTCTTGATAATTTAAAAAGGATTCTTGAGAATTACATATCATTAACTAATTAATTTATTTGTGACTAAAATTGATGTCTATTATGAATGACATTTCTCTTTGTTGTCAAACCCTGTGTTGACAGAGAAGTACAACGGCAAGTGCTGCAGTTCAAATGATTTATATCCCAAATTTTCCTGCTTATCTTTGCAGCTCCAACATAGTGCTTCACCTGCATGTTATGGTTTCTGTATTCCACAGTATCTGGACCTGGCTTTCCATTGCAGATCTGTGTCTGGTTCTCATATTTAGTAGTTTTGTATTAGTTCATCTTTCCATAGCACAGTTTCCACAATCAACTCTGCAGGTTCAGATTTAGCGTAGGCTAGCTGTTGAGTTGACTGATAACTTCACAAGCTTGTTCATCATGCTCTGGATTATAGAGTCCTTTACACTCAGGAGCGTGCCTCTTCCCCCCCCCCACACATGCTGATTCTTTTTTTCTAATCATTTCGACATTTTTGTTGAATGACTCCTCTTTCCATCCCCTGCTTCTTTTACAAACACCCTCTTTATCAGAAGATTCTGCAATCTCTAGAAACCCCCCAATATTCTTTTACAGCCTGAAAAGCCATCATTATAACATGCATATCTGCCAGCTCCCCCTGAAACACCTCTATTTCCCTGAAATGTGTTTTAATGTCTCTGAAAAGCCTCCCTTGCCTTAAATACGGTATCTTGCCTTGCTTGAAAAGCCAATGTATAGTATCATATCCTATCATCTGCCAGCTCTCTAAAAGGCATCTGTCTCATTTAACAGTTCTGTCTTCATTTGGAAGCCCTTCCATTTTCTGAAAAACCTATAAAATATCTTTAATGTGATATTCAACCCAAAATTGTGCATGAAATTCTCACAGATTGCTTGAAAGATGATTATGAAAAGATCTGTCACAGAGAAAAAAGGTCAGGGGTCAACTTGGAATCACTGCAGTTATACTGGATTCCAGTCATAGCATGCAAGCATGTGCATTGGTTAGGACATGTGCAGCACCCACCTGCTGCTCTGCCTATGATCACAGCTTGTTTGCTTTTCAAAATTTGTATTTATTTGTGTGGAATTCCCTGCTTTCCTAATTTGTAATGCCAAGTGCTTGCGTTGCTCGACTCTTATCACTGCTAACTTCTGAAGAGGACTACAGATTGACAAGTTCTACTACAACTACATGTGGAGAAATCAGCCACTTTTCCCCCTGCCACCAACCGTTTCACATGAGCTTCATACTGTCCTTATATTTCCACCACCCACTGTGCAGATGAGAAGAAGAAGAGAAGCTGCTAACACTGTGTAAAGGACGACATACAGTACATCTTTATCTGGCCTATAAATGATGAACCATTTTGTCCATTGTAATGCACAGCCAATCAGGACCAGGAAACCAGATGTGTATCCTATAGACTGATGAAAATCTACAGTGAAATGTTTTAGCTCACAGTAACCCCACATTAATGAATGTATTGATCAGCTATGACCAACATGCTACTTTTTACAATTGTACTTTTTGAAAAGTCCAAATGTATTTTTATAGCATCTCATATAAATATATATATATGCTCTTTCTTTCTTGCCACTTTTACCATTGATCCATCCAGGTGGGATTTGTCCATCCTGGAGTGGCAGCCTCTGTATTGGTGTACCTAGCTTCAGACGGGTCATGGTCTGGGGAGCAATGTCGGAGAACAGTCACCATGTTCCTGTCTGATACTACTGGCAAAAATCACTCACTAGGTATATTTTACCTATATTTCTTTGTATGTTCTTGATGATTTTTAAAAGAAAATACAATAGTGCTACTGCTAATGATAATTGGTCACATTTGAAGCTCAAAAACTACTGGAAACTCTTCCACCTATCTAGGCACACATGACCTCTCTTGCCATCGGAACCCGTTGGTAGTGAATGTGACCCATGACCTCTCTCAACCCTTCTTCCTCACGGCCTCTGTTATCCTCCTCTTCTCCTCCCCCTCTGTGGCAGTGGGAGGGGTAGCCCTGAGGACCTCCTGCCATTTCAGCACCTTCGCCCTGACCGGGTGCGCATCAGAGGGTGGGCTCTCCCACAACTACCTACTTAACACACACACACATTAACATGCATGCTTTCACACATAGCATGTCAGTTTTCTACTGTTCTTGAACAAGGGATTATATGCACACATCTCATCATATTTAATACAGACACTGAATGCTCTCATTTAAGCAAAGAAAATGTTTGAATATAAGTTAAAAGAAAAAAAAACTTCTGTCTTTGGGAATTTGCCTTTTTTTCCTAAGTACTTTTTAGAATATTGACTATAGAGACCCCTGGAAAAACCTAAAAACAGTACTGCCCTGATTTTTGCATTGCAACCTGTGGTACAGTGGTTGCCTGCTGTACTTCTTTCTCTCATCATTTCTTTTTTTTCACATATGCAATAGCACACCCCAAGACCTGTAAACAAACTTTGATGTGAAAAATCAGTGTAGCTGCACTTTAATATAGCCTACACTATAAGCAGGGGAAGCATATTCTCAAAAACAGAACTTGCAGTCTATTGCAAGTTATTGCAATTTATTAAGTAAGTCTAAATAATAAATATTCAGTCATGGCATTTTTGTGCAAGGCATTGTTAATTTCCATCTAGTGATATGATTTGGAGTTTCTTTTTAATGTGATCTCGCTTGAATAAGATGAGACATAACTTGTGATCAGTTTAGGACTTGCTTTCTTTGTCTGTCTCCACCTCTCATCCTGCTCCTTCTCGAATTCTTTTTCTCCATCCAACCCTGCAATAGCTGTTTGCAGCGGCCGTGCCAGATAGACACCTGCAGCCCTCTGCAGGTAGAGCATGCCTCTGTCAGGTAGGTCTTTTGGAATGGAACACTGAGCAATCAGAGATCTGAAACAACAAACAAAAGAACTATTTATATGTTAGCATGTCTCTGCAGATGTACAGGAGGAGGGGAAGCTTCTCACTGCTCTGTTCTGTGTCACCATGGCTTCAGTATCATTGTCCTCAATGGCAGAAGAGCTCCACCCCACCAGGTACACTAGATGTTGTCTTATGTGTTGCACTACTGAAATAACACCATACAGTGCCCTTCAACTGTCATATTATATTTATCCATCTAGATATCACTGATCTATTTTGCACACATTTGTATTTTAAATTCATCAAGATTTAACTGACATATAAGACAAACAGAAACAAGGTCTCATGAAAAAAGCAATAACACATATGGGACATGCAGTACTTCCTTCCAACTGCTAGAGTAGTATTATAGTTCTTTGTTCCATTCTTTGTAACATTTTCTTTTTTTTCTCACTCATCATTTGTGCTTGCATTATGTTTTCCTTCCAAAATCTGGGTTAATTTAATTATGTCCCCTGTGAGTGATGAGGGGAGTCAACAAGGTTTTATGTTTAGTATTTTCAGTTTCACTTATGACATTGATTGTAAAACTCCAAGAAAGTGTCAATATAATTCTAAGACTAAATTTTAGGAATATATGGGTAAAAGTATAACGTGTAATAGAGCACAAATCGGCACCAGTACCAACAACAACTAATCTCTCCTCTTCCAGAGACAGCTAGACCTGGAATGTTTTCATGGTTCATGGGATCGAATAGTTAGTTGTCAGCCTGTGGACTGTGGCCTGCCTGATCAGTCTCATGTCTACCACGCTATATTTAGTTGCCCCTGGGGAACCACCTTTGGCAAACAATGTTCCTTCACCTGTGGATCACCAGCCATACTACAAGGTAAGGTATGGTTCTGTCTATTCTGTTGTATTCTAGTCTTGTGTTGTCTATTCTAAAATATTCATTGTTAAATCCCATGGGAACATGACTGTGAAATACATGGCCATGCGTGTATAAAAACTATACATAAATATTTGTGAAATTTTTTGTGTTATCACTTTAAACATAATTCTAACTAAAATACTGAATTTAACAACAAAGGCAAGCTTTCCTAGAAATAATTTTTTCATTTTCATGTGGAAAAGCAGATAAAGAGTAATTCTTTCATCAACAATATTTTTAAGCAGGAAAAATGTGTAGTGCCCAACAAATACATAATGTTTACTGAACAAATCCAAGGAAGTGGAGCACCTACAGAATAACCTTGCACCGGTTACCCATCATGTCCAAAACTATCTCTAAGCCCTCTTTCCATATATAAGGGATATTTCATTGTACCCTGTTCCATCATAGCTAGATCAGTGTGGAGAAGGTGTAATGTGAGAAGGACTTGTGCACTTTCAAACTGAGTCCATGGAGCAATCCTGAAAATGTCAGAAGTCAGGTTTTTATATAGAAAAATGCATATATAAATATAAATGTATAAATTTTTGTGCTTTACTGTCACAAACAAACACTAAAGAAGAAAAGGAAGGTATTATAGTGATTGAATGAAGATTCTGAATGTGCCTCAGAAAAGGTCCTCATCCCTTTTGGATTAAAAAAAAAAAAATTTAATTTGTTTACTTTTATTGTTGAGTTACAAACTTTTTTTAGCTTTAAACTGGACATAATATCCCTCAGCCTCACTAAAAATGGCTGGGCAGGGCAGCATCTTTCTAACTGAGTAAGATGGCACATCTAGCCAAAATAGAGGCAAAGGATGGCATTTTGCTGGAGTCAGTCTCTTGTCTTCCTGTCTGGTCTTGCCAAAAAAGAAAACCAGAGGGTTGGTTTCCAGATCAATTTTAAGGATCTGGGATAAAGTTTGGAAAATATATTTCCAAGCAATGACAAATCCTGTCATGGTTATCTGGCCACTTCCTGTGTTACTTTGAAGTTATCTCCTACATTGTGCTATTCTCATTAGTCCTAGCTTGACTCTCCATGATTGACCTCAATTGCATTCACCTGTTTCTCATTACCCTTCCCTGTCTGTCCTTTATAATCCCTCACCTCCTTTGCCAGTTTGTTATCAGACTTTCATCAGTTTGTTGTACTGCTTCAAGAGTTTTCTGGTTTTGGACCAATTTCCTTAATGTTGACTGCCTGTGAACTATTTAAGGAGTCATTTCTGTATTCACTGGTCAGTTTCGTTTCATGCACAACTGTTTTCTCATCAACTTTAGATAACCTATTGTACTGTAGGTTATCTACATAAGTTACACCAGGTATTGTCTTGTTATTTTACCAATCACTTCTCTAGTGGTGTTTGCCAGGTGCAATTTTGTTGTTAGTTCTGCCTAGTAGTCTGTTTATTTGCATTCTTTGTTTGTTCCTGTAGGTAGGTAGGTAGGTAGGTAGGTAGGTAGGTAGGTACTTGTATACCTGTTCAGCATAGCCTCTGCGGACAAGCCCTGTTATTTAAGTGGACCTGTCAGTTTCATGTTGACCATGTTAAGTTTGAGAATATCATTAAGCTTTTTGGTTCTTCAGCCATACACTTTGTTTTATACCATGTTTACATCAAGCCTTGGCAATATGCTTGTTTTTTTTGCCTGCCAAGTTCTCATTAAAGTTACTAAAGAACTCTTCAAACTTCCTGTTGGGTTGCATTTGGGTCCAAACTTAACACAGACAAATCTAGTACAGGTAAATAACATTTGTACGATACGACAGGTGTAAACAAACACAGCAGTAGTCTACAAAAAAATGGCTGCTTTGCAAGTTTATGGAAAATAAAGACCGCAGGAGGGCAGTGAATGGTATGTATGAAATTTGACAGTGTTAAGCTTTACCTGCTTCTAGGGTTCAAATGGTGATGGGGTTAATGCATCTAAAAGGGCTGATAAATCAATCCCATGACTTTGAAAGCAGGTCCCATCATACTAGTGGGGGCTATGATTGGCCACACAGGAGCTGAACGTTTTCCACCAGCCACTGTTTGTTTGGCTAGTGTAGAACAACCAGTATCATTGACAGCCCACTCTGAACAGTCAGACATTGAAGGAAAGTGTTTTTCCTTCAAGGAACAGGGCCAGATGGGGCTGGAATGCTGTAAGTCTTTCTGCTGACAAGTTGAATTCAGGAACAAACCTATGAAAGAAGCAGTTTGATCAGGAGTCGGTGAGCTCTTTCCTCATTTCAGTCTGAAGCCAAAGGCAGACAAATTTAGTGCAAGTAGTCTGGCGTGCCTCCGTCTTTGATCCTGTAACTAAAAGTCAGTTATTGGTGGCAGTCCCTCAGGTTGACAAAGGTCAATTAGTCACCCGAACCCAGGAATTTTGAGGGAACTACATGTCAGTATCTTGAATTCGTATATCTTGACTGTAGATGCTGAATATTGGGCATAACCCCACCCCCTTCATAGAGGCTAGGAAGCACCTGGAGTAGAAACTGCTCTGGCTCTTCCCCGGTGGTAAAACTCTTAAGGAATATTTCCTCCTTGGACACCTGGTATATGTCAAATCTCCAAGTACCTATAAAAATATTACTCCTCTGAACTTGGGCAATAACAAAATGGAGTCTGTATCCTCTGTTCTCATTACCCAGTCTGAGGTCCGGCATGCTTGCCAGCTCTCTTCCAGAGTAGTGTGCCACTGGTTGTGCACTGCCTCCCCCTAAAGTGGATGGTGGTGGAGGGGGGGGGGCACAAAAGGGAAAGACAGAAGAAAAAGAGAAAAGGTATTGATAAAATAGAGGGTGCTTGGTCCTTATGCCCCCATCCAAGATTATCCCCCTGGTCGTCTTTGTGAAGAAGAGGTTAAGTTGTAAGAAAGGGATTCAGAGCTTCATAAATTATGTGGTCCTTTTAAGCATATATATATCTCTATTTTTTCACAACATTAGGCTAGTCTCCCCATGGATTCCCAGCTAGTTTGTAACAATATTCAAGCTCTGTTTTATTAAGATTGCTACCCCTTTCCTACACAAGCCATCCCCTGAAGCTGCCACAGTTGTGTAAAATCTGTTCTGCAGTCATGTTGGTCTGAGGTGGGTCTCCTGCAATAATGCTGTGTTTATCTGCTTCCTATGAAGTAAATCAAGGACCCAGTTTCATTTTGATGGTGAGTTAAGGCCCAAACCAGACAGTGATGGGTGTGCAGAGAACAAACTCGATGATTCTTCTATAGAAATGAATCAACACCTGCTGCAACAGGTTAAACGTCCTGAGATGATGCAAGAAGTACATCCTCTGCTGCACCCTTTTGATGATGGTACTGATGTTGGTTGTCCATTTCAAGTCCTGAGAGATTGTGGAGTCCAAGAACTTGTAGGACTCCATGACTGAAACAGTGCTGCTAAGTATAGTGAGTGGAGATAGGATGGGGAACCTCCTCCTAAAATCCACTATCACTTCCACTGTTTTCAGTGTGTTCAGCTCCAGGGTGTGATGACCACACCACAGGGCTAGTTGTTCAACCTCCTGTCTGTAAGCCGACTGATCTCCATCTTGGATGAGGCCGATGACTGTTGTGTTTGTAAACTTCAAGATTTTTACAGGGGGTCTCCTGAGGTGCAGTTGTATAAAGGGAGAACAACAGTGATGGGCTTCAGGTGGGTCAACATCAGTCTCTCAAAACACTTCATGACTACAGATGTCAGAGCGAGAGGTCTTTGGTCATTCAGTTCCCTGATGGAGGGTTTTTTTGGAACTGGGATGATGGTGGAACATTTAAAACAGGAGGGGAACTACACAAAGCTCCAGTGATCTATTAAGAATCTGTGTGAAAATGGAAGCCAACTGGTCGGCACAAACCTTCAGGCAGGAGGGGGTGACATTGTCTGAGCCTGGTGCCTTTCTGATCTTTTGTTTTTTAATAAGGCTATGCACATCTTTTTTCACAGACCCTCAGAGGTGGGGGTGGGGTGGGGTGAGAGGTGGTCCTGGGGAAAGCAGCTACTGGTTGCTGGTCCAAGATGAGGTGAGAAAGGGGTATAGAGTTCTGCCTCTCAAACCTACAATAAAACACATTCAGTTCATCAGCCATTTGGTAGCTCTCCACAGCAGGAGGGATGGTCTCCTGTAACTGGTGATCTTCTGTAGGCTCCTCCATACTCACTAGCCAGACACTGATTGTTAAGCCTTTCAGAGCAGCTCCCCTTTGCTACTCTGATCTCCTTTGTCAGTGTGTTTTTAGCCGGGTTGTACAGAGTACTGTCCCCACTCCTGTAGGCCTCAGGCATGACAGAGCTGTTTGAGCTTCACTGTGAACCAAGGTTTATTGGTGTATTGTATGTACAGAGAGTCTTAACGGGCACACACACATGTCCTCACAGAAGCTGATACAATGTCAGTATACTTATCCAAGTATGTAACTGTAGCCTCAAAAACATCCCAGTCTGTACAGTCAAAACAGGCCTGTAGCTTTGACTTTGCCTCTTCAGTCTTCTCACTGTTTTAACCACAGGCTTTGCAGCTTTAAGTTTCTGTCTGCAAGTGGGAATGAGGTGGATCATGCAATGGCCCGAAAACTCGAGGGCTGCATGGGCAACAGAGTGATCGGCATCCTTAAGTACAGTATAGCATTGGTCCAGTGTGTTTTTGTCCCTGGTGGCACAACTGACATTTTGTCTGTGTTTGTGTTATTTGTATTTGTCTGTATTTGGTCAGTTCATGGGTAAGGTTTGCTCTGTTAAAATCCTCCAACATAATGATCAGGGAATCTGAGTGTTTCTGTTCTATACTTATTATCCGGTTGCCTAGGTGCTGCAATGCATTTTTGTGGCGAAATATAAATACCAACCAGGATAAACAAGGAAAATTTTCTAGGAGAATAAAATGGTTTAGAGTTAATGAATAATGCCTCTAAATCCATATTACAAGTTCTTTCCAGCACTGTGACATCCCTACACCAACCTACATTAATGTAGAAACAGATGCCTCCTCCTCTCTCCTCTGAGCTGTCAGATGTTCAGAAGCTCGTCCCTAGTAAAAGTAATCCAGGCAGAGTTGCAGAATACCGACAAAAATTACAAGAACAACAAAAGCACACAGGAACACATGATTGAGGCAGCCCTGGTTGGTGCCATGACACATAATGACACATGATTTGTAGAAAATCAGTCAAAAAAGCACTTCAGTACATATATATAATAACACAGCAAACTACATAGCTATAAGTATGATTCAAAGGTTTGTGCAAGTTCATATTCTTTCCTTCCTTTCTTTGTCCAGCTATGCTTTGACATTCTTTTGAAATCCTGTTGAATTGCAATCTTCCTCCTCCCCTGTCTCACCCTCTCCAATCATCAGGTGACAGTGACAGGTTGGTGTGTTTGGAGGATGGGCTGTGGTCTTTTCCAGAGGCCTACTGCAAGATAGAGTGTCCAGAGGTCCCAAACATATTCAATGCCAAGCTGCTAACAGCAGACTGTCTGGCCTCAGGGCACGACGTGGGGGCTGTCTGCCGTTACAGTTGCGACCAAGGCTTCTATGTAATAGGCAGCCTCAAACAGAAGACACCGAGGTAAATGTTGCGGGACAGGTGGAATCTCAATGGATTGAAAATAGTACTACTGCTGCCAGGGTTTGGAGAGGCAGTCAGCATTATTCATGTTTGCATAGTTGCTTCAAGTGGGTTCTATCTTTAAATTATCACTGAGATTGATTATTTGAGGCATATTCTTTTTAAAATAAAAGGACAAAAACTGCAAAAACAGTCCAGAGTGACCATGTATTGTGGGTTGTGCAGTGCATTTAAATACTAGTAAGTCTGCATAGATACCGTAACGGACCAAAGTAAATGCAGTGTTTAATGATGCATGCCTCCCAGCATCATGAATGAAATTCTTTATTTTCCTTTATTTTACAAGGTCCTACTATGCATTGCTTAATAGTAGAATTTGGCTCTTTGATTGAGATATTTAACAATGCATCACATAAACACCCAAGCCCCAAGCGCAAAGTTTTAAACATTAATGGGTACAGTTGAAATAGACATTTCTTTGTATATCATCTGGAACAAGGTCACAAGGTCACTTCTAACTTGAACTTATCATTGCTTTGTATGCACTAAGTAACTGCTCATTAGTAAATTTAGTTCACATGTTGTTAATGAAGAGACAGCATCTGGATTAAGTTTATGCCCTGCTTTAGATGGAGTCAGTTATCTATCTTAAGACATTTCAGGCTTTATCACTAGTGATCAAGTTGCTGACTTATGTACCATATAGTATAGTAATTTTACTGCACATTTCTGTTGCTTTATTGTCCTCCATTTTAAGAGTTTTACTATCACATGGTTGGTAAAAAATATATATATACATTTTACAGTTTTGTATTACATTAAGTTTCCAGCTAATGTGGTGAAAAACTATTTTATGTAAAGATCCATTTCGCAGCTGGTATCTTTGAGTTACACATTTTCAAGCATATGTACAAATATTTTAAGAACCCCTAAAACTTTATTAGCCTAACATGTGAAAAGGAACAGCAGCAGCTACTTTTCTCTTAACTTTAACACGTGTGTATATAAATTTATTATATAACACACACTGTTACATTTACGCACCACATGCATCATACAAGGGACCTTTGTTACTATAGAAACAGTAAAATGGACAATACAGAAGTTAGCAGGGGTAGTTTATGCAGTCAACTGATACAGCAATAGATCCCAACATTTTAAATTAATAAATGTCCACTTTGGTCCTCTCCCTCTCTCTCTCTCTCTATACATATGTATATATATGTTTTGTTTTTTTGTTATTTTTTGCTCTACCCATATGTCAAATCAGTCATATCTGTAAACATCCTCCAATCAGAAAACAGAAACAAGAACTGTGAATGAATCTTATTTTGTTTTTGGCACCTGTAGAAAGGGAAAACATCCTAGTACTGGCCACATATTGTATCTTTTTTGCACATTATATCTTGCAACTAAAAACACATTTTAATGTTTTGATACTTAACAATGCAAAACCATATGCTGCTTAAGTTTAAGATCTCACTTGGAGATGTTGTCTTTAGGAAGTACTTCACACTGGAGTGCCTGGAAGGGGGGCAGTGGGAGGAAACTGGGTGTGAGCCAATATCTTGCCCAGCTTTACCTGACGTATTCCATGGCATGTATACCTGCACCAACAGCCTCTACTATGACACCGTCTGCAAGTTGCAGTGCCTTGATGTAACTGAAAATGTAAGATTTCAACAGCTGTCCATTTAGAGGTTTTATGTTGTGAGCCACACAACTCATGCTAACAATTTTGGCCGTGATGTTCATAAAAAGAAGCAAATGTCTAGCTTGCTTTACTGTGCAGCTATTAATCTTCACAAATGCACCACAGAACTTGCCTAAATCAGATTTTTTTCACTGACACCATGTCAAATACATCCTGCTGCACTTCTGTTGTGCTTTTGCTCCAGACTGCTCATTTTTGGGATAATACAGTAGCATCCATGCAGTGCACCCAAGAGGTGCTGGGGTGATGACAACAGATGCTGCTGAGATTTCATTTAAGTTGAAAAGATTTTAAGTTCCCAGCTCAGTAAGTCATATGTGAAACATTGTTAAAATGCATCTTTGCCAACCGAAGTAAGGTAGATAAACTGCAGTCAAATTTTCTTAAAAACAACCCGTCCTCTATGCTGGAGATGGTCCCTTTGCACTGGTCTCACAGCTAGCTGCACATTGAGACCAGTTTGTCCAGTATGAGGACAAGGACTGAGGGACTTCTGTGATTTACTGTTAATGCAAATCTATAAGCTATATTCAAAACACACCAGATGAGGCAAAGAGGTTTGCCTGTGTGATCAACAGAGCTGAACACTCTAACGGTGGAACATTAGAAGCCTGTGTATGAACAGTGGCGCCTGCAGCTGCATCCATGTGCTATTTTGTGCGCTATTTATTGTGCATGGATTTAAGTGCTAGAGCAGTGATTCTCAAGGACTGGCTGGAGCGTACCTCCAAGCTCAATGATGGTCATTGTATGTAGAAAGTTGGTATGGGAGGTATATGTATAACTGAATGAGCATATTGCTCATAGTGTGTGTGTGTGTGTGTGTGTGTGTGTGTGTGTGTGTGTGTGTGTTGCACTCACTCCAGACTTTGAAGGAAGTCCATAGAGAATGACACTTAGAATTTTTATTATAGCTATTTAGTATGTATATTTAAAAATGGGACTAATGAAGGATACCACTTAAATGTTCATTTATTCATTGAGTCATTTAATTTGTGTAGGAGCTTTATATTTATCCATGTAACTGCTTAACAATATAAAACAATAATAGACTATCAAATTATGGTTTGAACTAAAGTGACTGAACAAATGATTTCCTGAACAGTTTGTTTTGACAGTGCTGTGTAGACTGCATGTGGTTCATAGACGACAACAATGATCTTTAGTGTTAATATTTGTTTCCAGAGTGAAATTCACTGCAATGAGGATGGTGAATGGACAGCAGAGTTCACTATGTGCTCCAGCGTCCAGGGATCCTGCTCTCTTCCTCCTGATCTCAACTCTGTAGATTACAGCTGCGACCAGGGGATGGATGTCGGTAAGTGTAACCTTCTTTCAGTGCAGTCCATCAAATCAGCAGTCCTGATTGTTTGTTTACACACTAATCAACTGAACAGACAAAATAATCATCGATTGCCGATGGGATACCGACAACACGACAACATTGATAGTGGTAATAAAGTGAAACTGAATAATTACACCACAGCACTTTTTTTCTCTGGTGCACATACCCTGTGATAACTATTTTGGTGAAGCTCCCAAACCTGTAGCATAAAACCCAGTACTCAATGATAACGTGACACACTGGCTAGTAGACCAAAAACACTGGTATTGTTGAAAGAGACTGATATAATGGTATAAAAGTTTGTTATTAATTTAGAGAACTTGAACCCACAGAGAGACTTGCAACACATGCACACACATACACATTTGTTTTCTTTGCCTGTGGGGACTTTACAATGACTTACGTTAATTCCCTGGAGACTTACCCTAACCTTAACCATTACCTTTACTTGCCTGACCCTAACCTCAAATCAAGTTGTCACGCTAAAGGTCAGTGATTTATATCTAGTTTGCATGAGGAAGGCTAATTTCCCAAGAATTTTAGTTTTTAAATGGGTTTGAGACCCCACACTGTGAGTAATACTGGGCGCACAAACACACACATGCACACATTAGAAGCTCTCTCATTGCCAGGAGTCCAGATGACAGATGCCGGCATGGTCTGAAGTTATGTAGTCTTTTTTTCCCCTTAGTGTTTGGACATGAATAAATTCAACAGATGCTAATGAAAGTTTGATTTGGTCCCCACCCCCTACCTCCTTCCTGCAGGTGCTATTTGCTACCCAACATGCATTATGGCTCTGGACATGGATCTGCATGACCCTGTGATTCTGCCTAATGGCACCACAACTGACTCTTTAAAGCACTGGATGCTGCCCACCAAAGTCCAGGTGAGATGCCAGAGGAGGGGAGTTGAATTACTTCACTTTGGTTTTTCTTCAGTAGTTTCTATTTTGTTCTATACCATCACTTTTTTAGTATTATTTAGCTTTTTTATATTTACTCTTACTCCTGAGGTCAAAAGTCCCTGTCAGTTTTAATCATATTTAGCCAACCTCATCAGTCTTATTTTAGACCAATTTCAATCAAATAAACTTTGGACATTTTTGTTTCATCTTGCTCAAAGATAATCCTAGACATTTTAATTTAGTTAATGAAAACACATGAAATCTAGTGGTTTTTAAGTCATGTTAGAAATGTGAATGTTTTTAAGCAATATATCCAGACATGAATGAGGATAAAACCATTTTTGTAGGCCTTAGTGGTAATAGTGTACTACACTGCACTGGAGCCATGTTTACCCATTATTTGGGGGGGGTGTCAGCCCATGCCATCATAAATCTTCAGAACCCCACGATAAGCAACACCATTTTCTAGACCTAACACAAAGCATCCCTGAACCCTATCCTCACCCAAGCAAAGAGCAGATATGGTTTTTAGTACAAATAACATTAATGCTGCTGCCTCAAACATCAGTGACATTAAACAGTGACAAAAATCAGTAACATGAATGGTGAATGTAGCAGAACAGGTCTAAACCGATCCTAGTTAGTGGAGGGAGAGAAACGGGACCATGCAGCTGCTGCACTGGACAGAACACCACAGTTAGATCTTTGCTGCTAGCAAGTTGATGCTTGTTTAGAGGGTGTTTTGTTAAATTACTCCTACTCCTCCTCGTACAGTTTTTTTTTACTCACAAAGGTTTTATTAACAAGCATAGGTACTGTAAACTTTAGTTTCACTTACACTTCTCCTGGGCTCCACTGCAGTGACAACAGCTTTCTGCTCTATGTGTGTGTGTGTAGGAGCTGAGCACTGCTCATTCTCATTCAAACACCAACACAAAGGAGAAGCCATTCCATAAACACCAAAACCATATTTTCCATCCACTACTCAGTGGTTTTTGATACAATATTCATTTACATCCCTAGCACATTAGCACCAGTTCTCCTGTTTGATCATGAGTTACTACACCTAATACAGCCTACAGTTTGCTAGCTAGCTTGCTATGACCTCACCCCACAATGCATCTGTTCTACATGCACTGCCTTAATACATTCATGATGAGAACAGGAGGCACATTTCTGCAAATGGGCATGGTTTCAGTGTACTTTGCCCAACATGCCCCCAGCGTTTTAGAGCAAACAATACTCCTACTTTTTTCATACTTTTAAAAGCTGATTTTATATACTTGCCAAACTTTTTAATCATTCAAATTTGGCTGGGTGGTTAATAACACATTTTCTTGTGGTGTGACAAACTCAGAGCACATTTATTTCTACTTGACCCTGAGTTTAAAGGCCTCATATTGATGTTTATTGTACTTAACAATGCTGTTGAATATTTTTCATTTCATTGCACTTGCATAACATTGGGAGAATTGAGAAATAGGTTAAATAAACACAAGCTATGAAGCTGCAGATATGATAACCTTTAAGCCCTATTGCTTAAGCTCCAAAAACACTGGATCCTTCCCAAATGCCATCTTTCAATCTCCAGTTTGTAAGACTGCCTTTCTGTAGAAAATGTGTTGTGAATTGTAAGAGAGCAATCCTTTAAAGTTTCCATCTCACCCTAAATGCTGTTTTAGCGGAAAATTATGAGTGCACAACTTTTGAAAAAATATGAGATCTTTGTCATTTTACCTTTTTGGCATGACTATTGTGTTGATATTGGGTAGCTTAAAAATCACAATGTCAGCTATTGGTAGCTTAAGTGCAGTTATGAAATGCAGTTTAGTCTTGCAAAAGCCATATTTGCCAAGGGTATGTTCTATTTACAAACCTTTATTGAGCACATAAAGATAGTTATATGCTTCTAATTAGTGTACTTTTGATCGAGTTCATTTAAAAACAGCCTATGTTGTACGTCAATTTGCCGAACTGGTCGCACCTGTTCCTAAACTGTTTTATGCTGCATAATGTGGTGAAAAAAATTAGATACTGTAGCTTGATTGGATTAATTAACCACAACTGTGGGTGGGATTGTGGTCTTGCTTCCATTTGGAAACACTTGGCAGGTTTTATAAAACAGTTGTTGTTTTGCTTTCTTGCTGCCGTGCGACCGGTCCAGGGCAGCACGAAAGCTGATCCACTGACAAACAGCACTGCAATATTTATACAAAAACACCCATTAGAAGGAATAATTCATCCAAGCATCTGGTAGTCTGAACAACAACACAAGGTAACCTGAACTATTTCTCCGGACTGCTCATCTTTATTGATATATACAAAGCAAGGTTCACTTACAGTTTAAGACAAAGACAACTTTTTTGAGGAAGGGCTGATGTACAAAAACACATACTGTAGATTTGCTGCTATGCATATTTGCAACAGAAATTGCATCTCCTCACTTTGTTAGTTACTTGTTAGCTTTAGATTTAATATTGCTGTCTCTGACTTGTTATGCCTTAATCAGCCTTAGTGCCTGCACAAAGGCTTTCTGGCCTGTGCTTGATTATGAATCAACCTAGACAAAACTGAGACAACCACATCACCTAAACCTCCCCATCATCCTCAAGTGGCATTTAGAATTTTGGATATTTTGTCTATAGGTGCACAGACTTTCAGCACGTATCAGTATATGAACAAATATGGGTGAGCTGTCAGTGTTTCAGGAATATAGGAAATATGTTAATGGGACAGTCTGCAGCTTATTGCTTAATTGTTTGCAACACCAAAACCTACCAAATCATGCTATAAGTTATAAAGCTGTAGCTCCTATAATTTGAAGGCTTTTGAGGATGTAAATACAGGATGTGCAATAGTAACATGGCATTAATTAATTAGCTGTGGGTTACAGCCAGAGCTCCGTTTTTGTTAACCAGCTTGTTTACATCATGGCAAATTAGCTGTTAGCAGCTTATGTTTCCAATACATGAACGTGAATCAACTACTTCTTCACTACTTTGTTACTGAAGAAAAATAAAAACTTTATTATTTTCCAGGAAGTTTTGAAGTTATGAGTATTCTTTGTGAATTTTAAGCAGATACGTATTTGTGATGAACATCAAACTTAAGAGGCTTCAGAAGTCAATAACTGAGACTAATCCATCAAACTGCAGCTGAGATCTTTGAATCCATCATGATACTGTATGTGCAAATGTTTTTCCTATCAGCTATTTGACCGAATCATTGGCAAGACACTATCTTTAAGAGTTTTCTTGGAGCACAATTTTAATTCCCAGCTGCACCAGCTAGTCACACTCTATCACACATCAAAATCTACCTGTATGTGAGTGTGCCTTCATTATCAGTCAAGTGTTTTTGCATTACTGGAAATCACAAGCAGAAAGCAAGAGTAAAAGTTCCAGCTGACGTCAAGCCTTTTAGGAACTACACACATCTCTCAGACACAGTGTATACAAATCTCCAACAAACTGGCAGCATCAGATTTTGGGACTGAGTTGCAGTGCTGTTGTTTTGCTTTAAAGTTAGGTCATGTTACCTAATATTTCTCAGGAATCGCGTCTACATTAATGCTGTCGCAAGCACTGCTTACTTTTGGGTGGTCAGTCAGCCAGCCAATCAGTTCATCCATGCTTGCCAAGGTCAAATAGTTGAATAGAAGTCTGAATACTTGAGCCATATTTCTGACATTGCCTTGTGATTTTAAGGCATTGTGTTATCTCAGATACTACAGAATCAAGTCACCCTTGCTGGGTCAAGATGAATAGGAAATCACAGTCCATATTTGTTGGTTAATCACCTGTATCTGTTAACCATTATGAAAATACCTGGGTACAGCATATATTAACTTGTGTACATGCTGTTTGCAATAGTTTTTTGTCAGCTGTTTTTACATTTAGCTCTAGTTCTAGGTCTGAAATCGAAAGCTTATCTTAGCTTTAGTCGTATTTAGGCAACCTCCTTTAGTTTTAGTCATTGTTTCATTAACTAAATTTATGGACAATTCAGTCTTGTCTTACTCAAAGAAGTTTAACATTTTAGTCTAATTTTAGCTGATGAAAACATTTCACATTTACTAATTGTTATTTGACACTAACTAATCACAAGAGTAGTTGACAAAAATGTAGACAGCATTAAAGCATTTTAATTTTAGTCCAGAAATTAGCATTTTGGTAAAATGTGAAATTAATTTTGGGTAGAACAAAAGAAAAATAAAGTGTAAATTCACCAAATCACAACAATGCAGGTTGTATGACTAACAATGGTTGGTTTGATTTTTATTAATTTAAGCAATACATTCAGACATGAAAGAGGATAAAACAAGACAGCCTACTTGGAGTTTCCCAAATGACATTTAAAGGACTTTGACCACATGAGGAAAAACACTTCCTGGTTGAATGCAACAAAAACTGAACCCTTTGGGCAGAACTCCAAACTATGTCTAAAGAGCTCAAGCCTCTGACTGTCCTTGAGTGGCCCAGATGGAAAACCCACAGAACATCTGTGGAGAGGCCTGAAGATGGCAGTTAACAGATGTCCAGTCTATTGCTGTCTCATCCAAGACGGTGATGAGTCAGCCTACAGGCAGGAGGTTGAACATCTGGTCCTGTCATGTAGTCGCAGTAACCTGGAGCTGAACACACTCAAAACAATGGAGATGACAGTGGACTTCAGGAGTCAAGTTCCTGGACTCCACTATCTCCCAGGACCTGAAAGTAATTGTCCAACATCAACACTGTCATCTTGAAGGCACAGCAGAGGATGTACTTCCTGCACCAGCTCAGGAAGTTCGACCTGCCCCAGGAGCTGCTGATACAGTTCTACAGAGGAATCATCGAGTCAGTTCTCTGCACCTTCATCACTGTCTGGTTTGGCTCGGCAACCAAACAGGACAGGAACAGACTTCAACGGACAGTCAGGATTGCAGAAAGAATCATTGGTGCCAGCCTGTACTCTATGGAGGACCTGGACACCTCATGGGTCAAAAGGAGGGCAGAGTATATTTCTGCAGACCTCTCAAACCCTTGACACAGTGTGAACTCCTCCCCTCTGGACGGCGCTTCAGGTCACTTTACGCCAAAACAACCAGACACAAGGACAAGTTCTTTGCCCAGGCCATCATTCTGATTAACAGTTAATCCATGACTGTAAGACTGGGCACAGCATCACCCCAGTGCAATAGTTTATAAATTTAACCATTGCATATACTGTATCAGTCTGACAGCTCTTAATGTAATGTATATAATACACATATACATTATTTATATATATACTGTCTTTCTTTTCCTCTCCTTCTTTCCTGTTTTTGATTGCACACATTTCCTACTTGAATGCACACACTGCGTATTCTTATTTTAATGCTCTTTTTTTTTTATTGTATTGTCATTGTTATTTTCTATCCCTCTTGCCTTACAACACATTGAGAGCCTCTGCACCAGAGTCAGAATCCTACATGTTCAAACATACTTGTACATTAACTCCGATTCTGCTTTGGAGCTTGACAATATCAAATGGGATAAACTGCCCAAATCAAGGGGTGCAAAGCATCATTGACTTACATAAGGAGTGTTAGGGTGCGCTCGAACACAGAGTGAGCGAGCAGATAAAAAGCGGACCCAGGTGGCTGGCTTCGGTGCAAGCAGTGAGGTTTATTTACAGTGAAGGTAGTGACATATATACAGGAGGAGTAATGAGGTAGATGACCGGGTGTCGATCAGCAGCAGCAGAAAAACAGTCAGTGGTATGGTGGATGATGATGTACCGGGCTGCGGACGCAGAGGTCACTCCTGGGCTGGTCGAGGTGGAGGTGATGATGGCTGTAGACAGAAGAGCAGGGATAAACTGGGTAAGGGAGACTGTGCATCGACCTGGGAGGCGGTGGCTGGTGGTGTAGATTAAATCCAGGGGGGTCCAGAGGAGAGGTCCGAAGAGGAAGAAGACACTAGAGACGGCAGGGCAGGATAACGACTAGGGTGCTAACAAGGACTAGAGAGAACAAAGACAATCTTAGCATAAACTTGATAAAACAACATAACAACCACTGGCCTGAAGACAGAGAAAGAACTGGCAGGGGAGTGACTGGTGAACAGTGTATAAGTATGGAGGAGACTAATGAGGTGCAGCTGGTGAGTAATCAGGGAAGCGGGGCAGGTGTGTTGAACAGTGTAATCAGTGCAAGGGCTAGGCTAGTGTGAGGAAGAAGAAGAGAGGAAGGTGGAGCTGGGCAAACCTGACACAAAGTTGTAACTGCTGTCTGTCAAAGGGGCTTTTTCAAAGTACTGAATTAAGGGTCTGAATCTTTATTTAAATAAATATTTCAGTTTTTGATTTTTTAAAAATTTGCAAACATTTCCAAAAACATGTTTTCACTCTCTCATTATAGGTTACTGAGTTTAGACTGATGAGCATGAATGGTGACTTCATCCATTTAAAATTAAATCCACAGCATAATAAATATTGCAAAATGTGAAAATGTCAGAATACTTTCTGAAGCAACTGTTTATTTTAACAGATAAACTGGACACATCACCATCTCAGCAAAAGGTCTTTTGCACTTTACACAATATTCTTTAATTATCCAATCGGCAATATTTCTAATAAACTTGTCAAGCACGTTCATGCTCCCTCAAATAGTTCCCTTAAATCTGAGCCACTCTCATCCTTTTTCACTGAAACTAAGAAAGCCTTACCACAAAGTCTAATAGTAGTTGTTCAGGAGCTTTTGTTGGCTTACAAATTTACTTTTATTATCTTGGAAACAGCAGCTGGTAGTACAATCTCAACATACAGTTTATTGCTGATTACTAAAGATAAATAATTTTTTTTTAAATTGAGTAACTCAGATTATGAACAACTTAAAAATGACAGAATATGTTCAGTTGTAAATTCTTCTGTTAACAGACATTCTTAGGGAAGCAACACTATTTGAACAGAGAAAATGGATGAATTGTTTTTTGATATTCTAATTTTAAATTAGATAGTAACTGGTTTACTGTAGGTCTTGAAGAGGTTGACTTCAACTAGTCCTACTTTAATATTGATTTCCATGGCAAACACAGTGATTTCCATTTCCTGTGGCTGTGTTGCTCAGTTGTTGTCCTTATGGGCTTTGTTTTCCAGAGCATAACCTGCACAGGGATGCTGAAGTGGTACCCTGACCCTCAACACATCCACTGCATCCAGTCATGTGAGGTAAGTCAAAACAGCCAAGAGGGGTGGGGGGGCTTTCACTTTATAAAGTGAAAGACTGGGATTAACAAAGTAGATACAACTGCATATGTCTTTTGAAGCATATACAGTATTTGGCATCTTCCATGATGTACTGTTATCATTCAGTATCCATTCAAGCATCAAGATTCCAGCACTTAGAAAAATCTATTGCGTTGTGCAACTGAGCACTAAGGTACTTTGCAAATATGTGGTTTGATACCTCTTGCTTAGGCAACTCTTGTGTTCACACACATTACTGTAGGTGTAAGTATAATCTGTTCTTACATAATACTGTAGGTCAAGTATGTGCTTTCAAAACATCAAGGTTGGAAGTAAGTCCTGTTATTTTAAAAAACTTTGTATTAACATTGAGATAGGGAATACTTATTCCTTAAAACAATTACACAGTTTCAGGGCCTCTTGTCCCTCTTGTCATCACTACTCAAGATACCAGGGCCAGGGTGCAATGTGCTTCACATTTCATGGTGACAAACCTTATTCAGAAATTACACTTCCAATTTTACAAGAATCTTTTTCACATTTGTCCAAAGAACCTTTTTTTCCAGGGAACCAGACATTGTAAAATGTTAAACCAGGTAGGCCTAATGAATTATTTGATAAAGAAAAATAAATGAATCATTAGACTATGTTAGATATAAATTAATTATTCAGACTGACACAAGGCTTTCTTTCTTTCTAGTTTTAAAACAGTCTACCCAGGCAGTGTTGGAATTCATACTCTTTTACAAGGGGTACAGGATAAAGTTTCCTGTTTAGTGAGGAGGTAACAATGTCAAGTTTGTGGTGTATTTATTCCTAATGAAAATAAAACTGATTTTTAATGGAAACAAAGGTTGGATATGTCTAATAGTAAAGTTTAACTGCTTAGTTTACTATGATCAGTATAATTGGACATTTTTGACTGAGATAGAAGGTAGACCCTCAAATCAAACTATAAATAGAAACGTGCAAAAGTAAATGTTTATTCTTATTGTGGTACAAAGTTGGTCTTTGTCATATTTGTTTTTTTTGGAAGACTGGAACTGAATCAGTAACAGCAGCACACAGACTGTGTATTGTTCTGACTGACTTAATCCTCCTGTCATTTAATGCCTGTAGCATGATTGATTGAGGCATATGCAGGCAATATTTTTTATTTCTTTAGCTTCAAGAGCTGCATTCATGTGTTTTGTGCGCCTATGTGTAATTATACATGAATTTGGTGTCAGCTCAGCAGCTTCGCAGTGACATCTCTCACCACCTACTCTTACCTTCTTGACCCCTGTCTGCTGGCCGGCCAGTCAGTCATAAGGAGGTGGCGGCAAAATGTGCAGTATAATCTGCACTGTGTACCAAAAACGTTGTTCCTTAATGTCTTTCTCAAACAGATGCAAACACAAGTGTTTTGTGAAGAGAGAATGCAGACCTAATTTGTCACTGTTAACACAGAATGAATTATTAATATAAACAATTCCGTGTTATCTGAAAAAAACTTAGAAAAATCAACTGGACTAGGTTTTTAGGTCGAAGACATTTCACCTCTGATCCAACAGGCTTCATCAGTTCTGCTCGACTGAGCCAGAGCCAGAGATATTTATCCCCCTCGGTGGTGTTTCAGTCCTTTGAAGGCCAACAATGCCCCCTAATGACTGAGCTGTTATAGCCCAGTATCGGTGAGTGTCGTTGCCTGTCTTTGAACCCTCACTTTTGGGCTGACACCTATTGTCCTGTTGGGCATGTTTGGGCAGAGATCTCAAAAGAGAGTTGTAGATAGATGACAAGTTGTGTCTTAGTCTACCACCCCTATTTAGAGAGGGGTGTTCTATTTGGACAAAAATAGCTTCCTTCACTTCTCTCTCAAACCAGCTATGTTGTGGTTTGGTTGTCTCGACTCTTTGGGAGAGCTGAGATGAGCCTTCAAAGCAAATAATGTTGTGGTTTGGTTGTCTCGACTCAGCACTGAGACTTGGTTTGACAGTGTTGCACTCAGTCCTAAAGATTCTATAACATTGCTAAGCCATGATACTCGGACCAAATGAAAACAGTTAATGTAAGTGCTGTAACATGCACATTAGTGGGAGTTGTAGCTAACAGTACTCAAATAGGTGAGACGACCATGAAGTAATGTGATTGGTTCTTGTGGTGCATCATGAACACCAGTCTTGCAACAATGTAGTGTGGGTTTGATTCCTGATAGAGCTACGTGTTATTTAGCTCATCAATTAAACATTTGCCATCTAGCCTACTGGACACCCACTGTTCAACATCTTTTAAGCTATGGGCTATTTAGACTTGTTTTAGGTTAGCATATGATTCATAGCACAAAATGTCAGGCTAAGTATGTAGCTATAGCCTACTGCAATCAGACATTCCAAATGAGAAACATGGTCTTCAGCATTAGTTCATGTTTATTTTATATTTTATTTTGTCAGCTTGAAACCATACAACCATGTAGTGCAGTCGAACAGGAAATGTACATGTTGAATCAAATCCTAAACAATCCATGAACCAATAAGTGACACGTCTCGATTGCACTTCATTTTATTGACCACTAGATGTCCTTCTTGAGCACTGTGTCTTTGAAGCCTTGAGTAATGAACCACCTTTTTGAATACTGTGTTGAAGCTTCAACAAAGCCTCGATCAGCCATCACTAGTGACAGGGGTATCTCAGCAACGGGACAAGAACAAGGCATACAAAAGGGCAGAAAGACAGGGAGGACACAGGACTAAGTACGGAGCAAAACCAGGACAGGTAATAGTGACAGTAGCAAAGCTTGGGGCGAGTAGGCATGAATGTCAGGACATGAAAACGTAATGAACCAGAGAGGGAGTAACTGAAAGAAAGGCGTATATATAGGGACCAGAACCGGGAGATAGCAGGTTGATGGAATAATGACTAATTGCAGAGAGTAAGAACAGGATGGGAGCGGCAGGATAAAAAACACAACAGAAAACCAGGAAGCGAGGCTAAACCACAACAATATTAGTAGCTCCTCTTGTTAGATTCCTTCAACTACTTCAAGTTTGGACAGCCTATTGTATAAACCATGGCCTAAACAAGACACATGACCCTACTGTGTGAATATAGTACTTTAGGAACGTCACACACTGGTTTGTGTGTTTTTGAGTACAAAATGGAATCTTATTTTGACACCATGCAAATGAGTACATGGTGGGCATGTTTACTGTGCGATCTAGACATGCTTTATCAGGCAACAGATAGAGGGGGGAGGCTGAAAGCTGGCTGGGAACTGGCTGGAATTTAACTGGCAGCTGGCTGGGAGCAACCCTGACTGGTTTGGAGTGTGAGTGATAAATACGAGATAAGATCCTCCAATTTTTTTATTCTTTGGCGATTGCACTGTGCTTCTGTAAATCACTGCCACTGATAGAAATACTAAAATGTTCACTGTGTTTTTGTTTTGTCTAGCATCTTGGTATTAAGGGGTGTAATAAATATTGCAACTTAGGGGCCATTTTATCACAAAGTGAGACTTTTGGGCTCGTTCAGTTTCAAAGTATTTAGTGTACCCCGCAGACCGTATCATAAATGAAAGTTAATTTAATATGCAACTTACCTTCCATCTCACCTCATGCTCACACTATTTTAAGCAGTAATAGTAAATCATCTAAAATTGTAAAGCCAGATTTGGCATTCATCTGTTGGGTTAACAAAAGGCTGGAACTGCCAATGGAACACATGAACTCTTGATGTCTAATGGTACAAAATATTCTCGCTACCTGCCAGGACTACATTTTCCCCTTCCACCTTCCCGTGAGTGTTACTAGGGAAAACATCTTATAAACCACTCCTCCATGACAACGCTGTAAATTATACTGGACCACATGTGCTACATTTGCTCAGTGCCAGATCTCATCCAGATGCCATTGTTACCTATCTTCCTCTTACTCTTCTTCTTTTTTCTGTCTTTCTTAAAATGAGATTGAAAATTAGTGAACAAGTCAGCATAGTCCTCTTGTTAGTACAGCAACCTCTGTTGAGACTGTTGTGCAATATTTTTTTAAATCAGTTTTTAAGTTCTAAAAAATAGTTACAACATTGCTTTGTCTTTTTAGAAATGTCCTCATATCTTCCTAGAATTTTTCACAGCATAATCTATCTATGCTAATCCAACTGATGACATCATGAAGCACTGTATAGGAGCTTGGTAGTTTCATATTAGGGATAGTTGAGTTTATATCACAATAGCACTGCATGAAGCCGAATATAAACAAACACAACATGATTCTAATGTTTGTCACACACATCTGACACGTGTGTCCCTGACCTTATACATAGTCTAAGGCACCAGGAAATGATTACAGAGTAGAATGAGGGTGGTATAGGGTTTGAATCAAAAGGTAGCTATGTTTTAAGAGTGAAATAGTTAATACCTGTTCACAGCAAATGCCTATGTACAGTACAGGCTTATTCACTCACCACTATTGCTATTTGAATAACTGAGCTGAGACTGTGTTTAAGGGAAAAAATGGTTTTATTCTAAATACAAACCCCAATTCCAATGAAGTTGGGACTTTGTGTAAAACGTAAATAAAAACAGAATACAATGACTTGCAAATCCTTTTTGACCCATTTTTAATTGAATACACCACAAAGACAAGATATTTAATGTTCAAACTGATAAACTTTGTTTTTTGCAAATATTCACTCATTTTGAATTTGATGCCTGCAACACGTTCCAAAAGAGCTGGGACAGGGGCAACAAAATACTGGGAAAGTTGAGGAATGTTCAAAAAACATCAGTTTAAGAACAACGTTTCTCAGCGTACAATTGCAAAGAATTTAGGTATTTCATCATCTACAGTCCATAATATCATCAAAAGATTCAGAGAATCCAGAGAAATCTCTGCACATAAGCGGCAAGGCCATAAACCAATACTGAATGCTCGTGACCTTCGATCCCTTACGCGGCACTGCATTAAAAACCGACATCATTCTGTAAAGGATATTACCACTTG